TACGGGCGCGACACTGAGGGTTGCGATCCGTTGCCGGACACGAAAAAAGGAAAAAAAAAAAAAAAAAAAAAACAACTCACAACCAATAAGTTCTTATTTTGTGTATGTAGTAAAGCATATAAATTAGATAAAATAAATCTCTTTTAAGTTAAAAGAATTTAATTCTTTAAATTCAGGATGCTTATTAAGCTAATGTATATCAACAGTATAAACACATTTATAATTAGTTTTGAGTAACTTTACCAGGAAATTAGTTAACCAAATCCAAAACTCCAGCAGTCTATCATTTTGATACAGTTTTCACAAAATACTAGTAAATAATTTCTGACCATCTAGACAAATCAGATTGAGTGAGAATGACTTCAGATAAATCTGATTTGTTTTGCCCTTTGCTTGTTGTTGAGAAATTATCTTTTCGAAGGGCATCTATTCCTGTAATCTTTCAAGTCTCCATCTCTTAATTACTGACTTGAGTGACTAAGAGTTCCATGACACATGTCAAGTAGCAGAGAAGGAGAGCTAGATTGTTTCAAAAGAGGGCTGGGAAGATTCTTATTTTTTTTTATTTTTTGGATACTAGTAATTAGTAGGCAAATATATTTTTGACTCAGGTTAAAATTATTTTGTTTGACGTGTTTTTAAAAGAAGACAGGACTGAGACTCAGATGACCAAGTTGACAATTCTCGCTTTCCTCCTGTGTGACTGAGAAAATGACTTAACTCTTTGAGCCTCAATTTCTTCTTCTAGAAGACAGGGCTAGGACTGAGACTCAGATGACCAAGTTGACAATTCTCGCTTTCCTCCTGTGTGACTGAGAAAATAACTTAACTCTTTGAGCCTCAATTTCTTCTTCTAGAAGACAGGGCTGTTGGATCAGATGGTCTACAAGGTCTGTATTTTCCAAATCAAAAGTCAAGACATCATCTATCTAATGCTGTTTGTTAACTTATTAATTTACTTTATAAAAGTTTTGTCATGATTTAAAAACAAAGTCATATGTAGTGATTTAACAAGTCACTTTAATGGAAAAATAATAATTACATTTTTATTAGAGCTTTCCAGGATATCATCTATATTTCTTCCTAGCTTTAAAATTCTATATCTTATATATTTTTATCTGTTGTTTTAAATTTTGTAGACTCTAATGGGAATACCAGAAGTGTAGGCAGTTTGTTTTGAATGACTTCCCTACTTGGTATGTTTCTTAATGCAGTCTGTATCAAGACATTTATTTGTTTAGTAAATAGTAAAATGATATGGTATGGAAGAAACAACCTTTATTAAAACACTCATTCTGAACTCCTTTAGAAGATGGAACGAGTAGCTGCTTTATCAGAGTGCTATTCTTGCGTATTTATGATTATTTTATGGTGGTGGTGTTTGGTTGATATACACAGGATGATAAAAGTAGACAAGTAAGTACTTGGTTTTTATTACTTTATGTCCTGTTGGTTTTGCTTGGCCACATTTGGTCGTTGTTCAGAATTTTCACTTGTAACAATGGTTTTTTATACTGTCGATGATATTTATTTACTTATTTACTCACTCTAGGGTCATGATCAGAGTTCAACTCTTGCTCAACACTCTGTTGAACTGACTTTACCCAATCATCATCCATTTCATAGAGACTTGCTCCGATATGCCAAGCTGATGGAGTGGCTAAAGAGTACAGATTATGGCAAATATGAAGGACTAACAAAGGTATGGATTTGATGTCAGTTACTCAAGCATAATCAAGTATAAGCATAATCTTTTAGAATCAAGATGTTGTGTATTCAGTTGCCCAAGTTTGAAATACTATAACATGTTCTCAACAAAGAAGAAAATAATTGAATTTCTGAGTCCTCATAAACCAGGGATAATATTTATTTTATTTACTTGGATAAAGAGCTAATTTTGAACTTCAGTATGAAATAATATCAAGCCATACTGTTGCCTGAAGCATCATTCAATTTAGTTAAATGTTATAATTATTTCCCGAGATTCTTTATGTGCAATATAGGAACTACGGAGTATGAAGATGTGTGAGTGAGGTGTATTGCCCTCTAACATGACTCTATTAAGCAGGCATTCCACTGTTCCAGGCACCTGTGGCCTAACAAACTCTGCCTCTAAAGAGCTTTAAATCTGAATGGGAAGAAACATACACAGCAAAAATTAAGTGCTAAACTGGAAATGAGTTTAAATATATGGCAGTTTAGAGAAAGGAAATCCAAGTCCTGAAGCCATGAGAAAAACTTCATGGAAGATACTGTACTTCAATTGAGTTTTACATGACTGGATTAGATAAACCAGAATTAAGAGGAAGGGTATTCTGGGGGTGGAGAGCAAGATGTGCAGACAAAGGTGGGAAAAATATACCCTCGTCCTAGGACAATGAGAAAGGTAAGTGTGACTGAAGCAGAAATTTCATATTCTAAAGCAATGAGAAATTTTATTGAAAAAGATGAGCCATGAGACCTAACAGCATTCTTTGAGTATGGGACAAGATTAGATAGAAAAAATTAAAAACTTAATGTTATAATTCAGATGAAATGAAATCTTGAACCAGGAAGATGATGGTAGGAATAGAGAGAGAATATAAACCAAAAGAGAGACTCCAAAGGCAGAAGGAACAGGATGATGCCAAACTTGCTAGGCTGGGAGATAAGAACAGTGATAACATACCACTGATCAGAATCCAGCAATTGGAGAAGATGAGGGCATTCATTCACATATTCACTAAATAAATGAATTGAGCACCTATTATGTGTTAACACTGTTTTAAATGCTGGAGATACAGTATTGAAGGAAACAGGCAAATACTTGCCTTCTCAGAGTGCATATTCTAGAGAAGGACAGACAAAAAAAAAGGTGCCACTTAGTGCTCTGGAGAAAATAAAGCAGGGAATGCCAGGACTGAGGAAAGGAAGCGTATGATTTCAAATAGGGTAGGCAGAGAAAGAGTCATGAGAAGGTGACACGTGAGCACAGATTTTACAAATAAGTGGGGGGGCGGGGCACAGCAGTGGGGGTTTCTGGAAGAAAGCTTTCCAGGCACAGAGCAAGTGCCCTAAGGCAGAGCTTGCCTGGTATGCTTGAGGAACAGTAAGGAGACCAGTGTGGTTGGAGCACAAGAAGACAGGGACAGAGCCTGGGTGGGGCACAGGGCAGATCTGGAAGGGATTGTGGACCACAGTAAGGATTTGGCTTTTACTGTGCATGACCTTGAGGAGTGAGGAGGGGAAGTGTTGGTGGGCTTTGAGCAGTGGAATGACATGATCTGACTTAGATTTAATAAATGGCTATAGTAGCAGGAAGCCATAGGGGCAGTAGTTTTCTGGCATTTATGCTGTGAACTTTAGTATGGAAATCTTTTTTAAAAATAGAGCTAAAGAATTGCCACCTATATAACTTAAATGTATAAATAGCTAATAATCTAGATAGTCCTGGCTGAAAAAGCAATTTAATTAAAATTCTGAAATACCCTGAGAGACATTTAAAATCATTTATCTGTAAGTTTTTGTGAATTTGGAGTTTAAAAATAAAAAATCGAAGAATGCGTAAGCTATTTCAATAACTAATAGTAATTATGTAGATAATATGACTGTTGGGAAAATAGAATAATCTGGTCAGGGCCCTCACCTTGGGTCCAGTTGGGTGTGGTTCAGTACGTCCATGTAGGCAAATTGTGTGTGTGTGGAGTTAGTGTGTATGTGCACCAATGTATCTTTTTAGTTTTGTTGCTATTCTTGTGTTCTTCAGACAAAGACAGACAGAGAGAGAGAGAGAGAAAGAGGAGAAAGAGCCATGCTTTCCAACCTATGGCTCCAAGGACCTTTTGGCCAGTTGCCTACCTCATAGACCTGTGTGAAGTGGTCTGGTGACCCAGCCTGGCATGTGTGGGGGGTCTGGTGACCCAGCCTGGTGTATGAAGGGTTTGTGATTCAGTCTGTGAATGGGCTTGAGGGGTCAGGTGGCTCCAGACCCAGCCTTAGCTCAACAATCGGCCCAATTAGCAGGATTACCTGCAGGTAAAAGAGCCCAACAACTAGCGTGGCTGAGTAGCTTTACAATTGGCCTCACAAACAGGATTAAGAGCTAGACAGTTGGCACTGTGAGGTTTCCAGGCCGTAGCCTAGCCAGACAATGACCCTAAAATATTTTCTGGAATTGGAAAGAGTGATATATTTTATCTCGGTGGAGTGAGAATATGGAAATAGTTCATGTAAAGGCAGTACTATCCAGTATCTTAGGTTCATGCTATAGGAAATGGCAGAAGGGTTAGGAAAAGTGTGATAGTAAGAAAGAGGCAGATTTCTATTTCTATCAATGCATTGATGTTATATGGAAATAGTTCATGTAAAGGCAGTACTATCCAGTATCTTAGGTTCATGCTATAGGAAACGGCAGAAGGGTTAGGAAAAGTGTGATAGTAAGAAAGAGGCAGATTTCTATTTCTATCAATGCATTGATGTCAACATGTTCAACATTCTTATATATCAGTCTTCATGTATTTTCTCTTTGAAAATTGCCCATTTAAAGTAAAATCTAGCTTTTTCTACTTCTAAACTGAGGTCAATAAACCATGGTAAAATAAATAATATTTTAAAATTGTAACTTAAAAAAATGCTTTTCAAAAAGAATATTCATCTCCTGAGGTGTTTATATGTACATCTTATCTAGCTAGCTATTTTAAGTAAGATTATTTTTGTTTCTCAGAATGTTTATTAAGTGCAACTCTGCTGTTGTGTTATATTTTGTTTTGTTTTCATTCAACAGAATTCTGATTTGGAGATATCGTAAGGAAAAATATTTGCGTTACTGGAATTCTTTGCCTTTAGAAGTTTTAAGAGGATTAATATTTTGAATAATTAAATGTAAATTATATCGCCTTAAGAGTTTTGTGCCAAGTGCTTTGTCCCCTAGTGAATATTCAAATAAGTAAAGTAATCAATAAGCTTTTTTGCCTAATTGTGTTCTCAGTGAGTATTATTGCTCTGTCTTTACATATAATGCAGTATTTATGTATATAATTTAAGGTGAAGAAACTATAGCCAGCCTAGTGATGATTTATGGAATCATTCTCTGCTCAGAGTATATTTTTGACAGTATTAATGAGCTTTTTTTAATGAAATTGATTTATTTCCCAAGAATGTTACTTGATTCTGTGGTTTGAGCTTTTGACAGAATATGTATTTTTACCTCCTGATTTAATTTGGTTGCTGAAGGGTTGTCAAAAACAGGAATTTTATTTTAAAAAAAGAAAGAAGGAAGGAAGGAATGAGAGAAAAGAAACAAACAAACCAGTGTTCCTTTAGTAAGAAATAATAATTAAGTCCAGATAGCTGTTTACACTTGGTTGGGTCTTTTTCGCAGGAACGGAAAAAGCTTGTTCCGTATTCTTTAGGGATAAGAATCACTAGTCACTGCCCCCAGCTTGTACTTAAGTTGAATCTAAGCAAAGCCCTGATTTTTGGTATACATAATTAGAGTCTATGGAAAGTAGAGAGGTGCTTTAATCATGTAGTTCAACTGTCCAGATTCCCTTCTCCCCAGGACTACAACCACTAACTTTGGCTCTGGGTTATGCAATTAATAGAGCTGTTCCACCCATGCTTGGGTAGGAAATGAGCTTTTCTCTCCTAATAACCTCCTGAGATTGGCAGTCAGTCTTGAAGATTACTCAGACATCTTCTCTCAACCTCAGTTCCATATTTATAGAATTTGCCTTATTGTGCAAAGAAAAAGTAAAACATGGAGGTGTCTGGAAGACTGTACAGTCAGCATAGAATTGAAAAGACTGCCTGAGATAACAGTATTTAAACTCAGGATAGTTGAATATTAAGTAAGGTGCTGTATACAAGGTGCTGAGAGGACTATATACCTACAGTGGGAGACTTTTTTCAGTATTTGGTAAATGAATGAACTAATATGGTAGTGTAACACTTGCCCATGGCCTTTCCCCATCAATGAGTTCTCCTGAGTAGCAGAAAAAATGTATCTATCTAGTCATTTGAGTCCCATTGAAAAAGTGAGACAGCGCAATGAAATAGGAATTAATTTTACGATATATGTTAATTTACATTTGCTTTTAAAGTTATGCAAAGACTATAGGAAGGAATTGCCCATTTGACTAACTTTTCTTACAGAGATTATGTGGGAAATGTATATAACCTACAAATTGAAAAAGGTCAGAATCTGTATTACGTTTGGTCCAAGTACTATTTTATAAGGTTATAGCTATAAAATATCTAAGAAAATCAGTCGTGAACTATGAGTCGATATTCAAATATTTACATACTGTGTACCTTTTCAGAGGTGTACCTGATCTTTAAAGCAAAGTAAATGTGTTCTAAAAGTGGATATATTAATTTGAAATAATAAAGGAAGTTGAAGCTTAGATTCCATGATAAATTTAAAAGAATAGCTGGGTATAATTTTTCTGCTATGGATTTATTTAAATTTAGTCAAACTGTGTGTATGGCATTTAACTTAGGACTTGGAAAAATATATGATTTCTGGCGGAGGAAGAAGACACAACAATTACAGTTCCTTGAAGTTGATAGACAATTGAACGGATACAAGGTTGTTGGGAGGGAGGGGGGAGAGGGAGGAAGGAGGAAGGTTTTGGTAATGGGCCACAATAATCAACCACATTGTATATTGACAAAATAAAATAAAAAATTTTTTTAAAGGAAAAAAAAAGAAAAATATATGATTTCCTACTGTTGAGGAACCCTTCCTGAGGGTATATTTTTATAAATATTTTTATGTGATAAGCAGATATGATGAAGAAATTGGTTTGTATGCTAAATAATAGATGTGTTCATTTAAGTGAGAATTAATCAAATCTGTTTTTAGAAAATAAATTAATTATGAAAACCGTGAAATGTGCTTCTTACTGAAAATAAACTATTTTGGGGTAACACCCCAAGCTGACAAAGGCTTAGTGAAACTAAATGTCAGTGCCGTTGACACTATTAGTATAACTGTTTTTAATGCAACACGACAGTATGGAGGAAGAGTCCCAAAGGTTCCCATATTATGACCATGTAATTTCACCTTTAGGAAATTATTCCAAGGAAACAATTCATTAGAGATGAAAAGCTTATTGTAACATTGTCTATTATAGCAAAACATTGTGAAACCACTGCAGTGTCCTGCCGTTAAGGGATTAGTTTACTAAATTGTAGTAAACACAAAGCAGAATACTGTGCTGTCATTAGTGTAAGACTGGAGAAACATGATTGCTCTGATTCACATATCCTGTACAGTATGATTGCAACAATATTTAAAATATGCAAAAGGTAATATAAAAATGAAAATATGTGTGATTATGTTTGACTTTGTATGTTTGTAAATTGTTAAGGTTATGATACCTGGTCAATTTTTTTTAAAGACAGAATAACCTATTCTGTCCTATGAGATGCATCAAAGTTTTGGACCACAAAATTTAAAACAAGCATGAAGGATTTGGGGGGATTGAAAAATGGAAATGGTCATGTGTTTTATTAATAAGAAGTACCTGTTACTTTTATTTTAAGAATTACATGGATTATTTATCCCGACTGTATGAAAGAGAAATCAAAGACTTCTTTGAAGTTGCAAAGATCAAGATGACTGGAACAACTAAAGAAAGCAAGAAGTTTGGTAAGCTTAGGCATGTCAGTTCATTGTCTTACTGTTAAAAATGGTTTTATTTATGACAAATAATTGTAAGACTTTTTAAGCTAGGTGGAAGAAGATACAGTAGAATCAATAAAGAGGAGATCTAATACATTGGTATCTCATAGATCAAATATGTATGTCTGTAAATATGTTTTTTACTAATTAAAATTCTATACAGTATGTGCATCTGACAGCAATTGTTTATTCATGCTATAATTAAAAATATATCTTTGTAGGAAAGGTAGTTGGCAAGAAAATTAAGTGCAGTCTGATAAAGAAAGTCAAAGTCGAGAAGGTTTTAGACTAGGAGACAAATGTTGAGAGTCCAGTTTCTGATTCCCTAAAAGACCTTATAACAGTTGGGGCAGGTCACTGATCTCTTTAATCATTGCTTTCCACAGAGAAATGAAAGTGATTCCTGGCTTCTTACTTCTCACTGGCTATTTTGAATCAAATAAAAAGTATTTTCTCCCCTGACAAGGAGCTATAAAAAATGTTACCAGAATTTCTCCTGTAATTATGCCTTATTTTTCTAAAGAGATTTTTTGAAGCATGTTATTTTTTGTTGCTTCTAAATATTTTAAATGGACAAATATTATTTGAAAAAATAGCCAGTGAAAGTATTAAGTTATGAGGAACGTGATTTGCTGAGGCCACATTCTGCTCTTGCATGTACCCATCTGTGGAGTTCCTTTTGGATGAAGTTCTGTGCCTATTCCAGTCAAAACCTGGCCTTAAATGGCTACATTGTGTACTCTTCAGTGTGTCTGCATAACTCCCCTTTAGAATAATGAGTTTAGCATTTGCTTGTTGAAAGGAGCCTATTCCCTAAGAAACTTCAGTAATCAGGAAACAGGATTGAAAATTGATAGCACATTTCCATTCTTTTCTTTAGGACAGAGAAGACTATCTTTAATGGGTAATTATTTTGTAATTCACTGTTTTTTAAAAATGCAACACTAATATATTGCTTTTTTGAAATGGCTTGAATTTGTGTGTAAATATGCTACATTTTGTTAAAGATAATCATAAAAATCTTGGGACAGTAGGCTTTTGGAAACAGAAATGCTAACTCATCCTAAAGGTTAATTGTTCTTAAACAGCAGCAGTGTGTTTATATCCTTGTTAATGTTTCACTGTGGATATGTTATGCTTTTTTTTTTTTTTGGAGTAAACAGGATATTATTAATGCAGTTACATGTTTACTGTTTTCATTAAGTATATTTGTCCAGTTGTCAGTGAACCATTTCATCCTGAGAGAACTCTTCTTTAGTATATGAAAACTGGAGGTGAAAAGGAAATACTAAAATTATCTCCTGAGTAGGTCATTAATAATCCCAATATTAGAGAACTCTTCTTTAGTATATGAAAACTGGAGGTGAAAAGGAAATACTAAAATTATCTCCTAAGTAGGTCATTAATCCCAATATCATAATAGTTGGTCAAGTCTAAGAATTTCCTTAAGATAAGTTAAATAATAAAAACATAACTTAAATCGAGTACAACAGGATCTTATCATTGCAGTAACCTAAAACTTAATTTTTTTCTTTTCTTACCCCGAGAATTTCTTAAATTGTTAAAAATATTTTTAATTCACATAATACAGGTTAAGATGGCACTTTTATAGTTGTAAAACTGTTAAAATTACATTTCATCTGTGTATCTATTAAATACTAAAGAGTAGGAGATTAATTTGTGACAATTGATGGCATAGAAAATTATACTATCAATTATTTTGATATCGGCTATGAGAAGAAAAAATTCAGAGGATAAAAACAGTTTGGTTCATCTTTGAAGATCTAATTTGCTAGTCAGCATTTTAAAAATAAATTTTAAGTTAAATACAAATGACTTGAGAAGTTCTGAATAAGGTAGAACGTAAAGTTTTTTCAAAGATATCTTTCAGTGATTCAAATTATGTTTAAATTAATCTTTAATAGTAATTACAGTTAAAATGGAAACCTGAAGTTTTGGAAAGATAACTTTTCAGTGAATCAAAATTAAGTAATTATAAATGAAATTTAAATTTGTTTTGTTTTTTACTTGCTTTGAAAATTCTGAGTCACAAATGCTGATGAGAATTGATGCTTATAAGAATAGTCAGATTGAATATACCTTATAAAAAGAAACTGTATAGTCAGTATAGTCATAGAGAATCAGGGAAATACTCTTCTCTTTTTGAATCAGTTTTGACTCAAGTCTTTTTTAGTTCCAATAATTCAAACTATGTTAAGATGCCAGGTCATTGCCTTTTTTGGTTAGTAGGTTTACTGTGATATTCTCAAAGATATGGAATTTCTCCCCACAGGATTGATATATTTCAGGGTGTGGTTGTTTTTCTTTTTTAAAATTATATATATATTTTTTATTGGTTATGAATATTCATGGGCTACAAAGCTAATTGTCACCACTCATGCCCAAGAGTTGATGGCCAGATCCATACTGGCAGCATGCCCATTACCATAATTGTGATTATACCCCATGTCCCCCACCCACTTACCCCGACTTTCATCCGCATCCCCCTTTCCCCACTCCACTTTGTATCCCTAAGTATGTTCTCTCCCTCTGCGAGTCCAGTGCACTACTGTGGTCTTTCCTTCCTTCCTTCTTTCTCTCTTAGCTTCCACTTATGAGTGAGTACATGCAGTATTTATCCCTCTGTGCTTTGCTTATTTCATTCAACATATGTTTCTCCGAGCTCATTCATTTGTTGTATGCAAATGGCAAAATTTCATTCTTTTTTATGGCAGAGTAGTATTCCATGGTGTATATACTGCAGTTTCGTGATCCAATCATCCATTGATGGACATTTGGGTTGGTTCCATATCTTGGCTATTGTAAACAGAGCTGCAATGAACATGGGAGTGCAGGTATCCCTTCGACATCATGATTTCCATTCCTTTGGATATATACCTGGAAGTGGGATTGCTGGATCGTATGGTAGATATATCTGTAAGTTGTCTGAGAAACCTCCATACTGTTTTCCATAGTGGTTGTCCTAATTTACAGCCCCACCAACAGTGTAGGAGCGTTCCCTTTTCTCCACATCCTCATCAGCATTTGTTGTTCTCTGTCTTTTTAATAATAGCCAATCTAACTGGGGTGAGGTGATCTCAGTGTGGTTTTAATTTACATTTTTCTGATGACTAGTGATGTTGAGCATTTTTTCATGTACCTGTTGGCCTTTTATGTGTCTTCCTTTGAAAAATGTCTATTCGGTTCCTTTGCCCATTTTTTAATTGGGTTATTTGGTTTTTTTACTGTTTAATTGCCTAAGATCCTTGTATATTATGAATATTAATCCCTTGTCAGATGCATAGTTAGCAAAAATTTTCTCCTACTCTGTTGATTGTGAAATGACAGCTTTGCTGTGCAGAAGCTTTTTAGTTTGATATAGTCCCATTTGTTCATTTTTTCCTTTGTTGCTTGGGTTTTGGGGCTCATATTCATAAAGTCTGTGCCCAGACCTAGTTCCTGAAGTGTTTCACCTATATTTTCCCTTAGTAATTTTACAGTTTCAGGTCTTATACTTAAGTCTTTAATCCATTTTGAGTTGCTTTTAGTATATGGTGAAAGATGAGTGTCTAATTTCATTCTTCTGCATATGGATATCCAATTTCCCCAGCACCACTTTTTCCATTTCTGTGAAGAATATCATTGGCATTTTGATGGGGATTGCATTGAATCTGTAGATCATTTTGGGTAGTATAGACATTTTCACAGTGTCAATTCTTCCAATCCAAGAGCATGGAATGTCTTTCCATCTTTTTGTGTCTTCTTTAATTTATTTCAATAGTGGTTTGTAATTCTCATTGTAAAGATCTTTCACCTCCTTGGTTAAATTGGTTCCTAGGTATTTTATTTTTTTCATGACTGTTGTAAATGGGCTTACTTTCTTAATTTCTCTTTCTGTTAGCTCATTATTGGAGAATATAAATGCAACTGATTTGGGGACATTTATTTTGTATCCTGCAATGTTACTGAAATTATTAACCAGCTGTAGGAGTTTTTTCATAGTCTTTAAGTTTTTCTATATGTAGTATCATGTCATCTGCAAATAGGGACAGTTTGACTTCATTTTTTCCAATCTGGATGCCCTTTATTTCTTTCTCTTGCCTGATTGCTGTGGCTAGTATGGTGAGATGGGGCAGCCTTGTCTTTTTCTTGTTCTTAAGGGAAAAGCCCTCAGTTTTTCCCCATTCACAATGATACTGGCGGTGGGCTTGCTAAGATGGCTTTTATTGTGTTGAGATACTTTCCTTCTATACCTAATTTGTTGAGAGTCTTTATCACAAAGGGATGTTGAATTTTGTCAAATGCTTTTTCAGTGTCTGTCAAGATAATCATATGGTTTTTGTCCTTGATTTTATTGATATGATGTATCACATTTATTGACTTTCATATGTTGACCAATCCTAGCATTCCTAGGATGAATCCCACTTGATCATGGTGCATAATTTTTTTCATGTGTTGCTATATTCTACAAATATACTTGATATGGTAGGCAAAGGAAATTTAGTAATTATTTTTAAAATCATCAGTTTTTTTCTTTCTACAGTTAAGATATAGTATACATAATATATAAGAAATTTTAGTCCCTTGAACTAATTTTAGTCCCTTGCCTTCCCTCCTACTTAATATTCCAAAATCTTAAAAATGGTAGGCCAAAATCATTTTATCATTGTTTCTCCACTAAGCTAAGAAATCTTATTGATTCCAAAAGGAGTCTTGAATATAAGGCTGAATTCAGGGCCAACTGGAAGATTAACTCAATAAGTATTTATTAATTACCTAGTATATAGTAAGCACAGTTCTAGGTACTGGGAATGCAGCAGTGAACAAAGACCCTACCCTTACAAAGCTTATATTCTAGAGGGGATTATTTAAAGATATTTAAAATTTACCTCAGTACTGTCACTTGTTACTAATAAATGATATAGACTGTTTTTAATGAGCCCCAAATTATAATTAATGGACACTACTAGTAACTCTGTATTCTTTATTGGCTACTAAAAACAAACAAACAAACAAAAAAAACAAACTATGAAATATTAGGCTTTGCTCTGGAACTGATGAACATAGCATAGTGACACCGTAAGGCCACCAGAAAGTACTGTTCAGATTGGCTGTCTAGCTCCAGCATGATCCCTGTTTGCCACTTTAATGCTGTCAAACAGGAAACAGAGAGTGAGTATGCTTAGTGTATTAGTAGGTATTCTCAAAGCATGTTTGCTTAATGTCTAAAAATTAGTTATTTGTCTTGAAAAAAGTTAACACCAAAAATATTGATTGCTCTGAATTAAGTTTTGTGGAAAGAAAACCAACGTGATGGTAGTGGTATGGCTACATCCAAGAAATATGTAATATAGTTAAAATTATATGGCGAGTAGTAGAATTTTGTGTCAGAAATTTATGAAAAGGCTTAACCATTATGCTTCTGTTTTCAGGCTGTGTTTAGAAACTCTATAAAAATGCTTATGGATATGGTCAGATTTTCCATAATGAAGCCAAAATTTGTCTTTAATTGTCCTTACGATGTCTTCCTTTGTACCTTCAGACCATTAGCAAATAGTACAAGTTAATGGAGAAGTGTTCAAGGAGAATGTTTTTAAAATATCTTATTTATTGTTTATGTTAATTCTGGACGAAAATATCACATTTTCTTCTAAAAATTGAATCCTTGAATTCCTTGGTGTAAGTGGGATATTGTCAAGCCACATGTTTTTATTTGTCCTCATGGCTATGATGGACACCTAAATTCTACCTAAACACAGATGTCCCAGATTAATATGGTTAGTGATGTATGCATTACATTTCAGTTGTATTTTAAATATAACAATTTTCCAGGGTGTTTTTTTCTCCTCATTTGGTTTTTAAAGAACTGTACATAATCAGTTCACTTACTGGAAAAGCAGAGTTTCTGGGTTCAGGAACATATTAAGTTGAATTATATGTAACTGACTTTTTTTGGTAGGGCAAAACGATCAAGTGTTGGTAGTTTCATGTGGGTCAACCTAATACATTATTTTAATGCGGAGGCAAGTAATATTGGGATATGGCAGTTCTAAAATATAAACAAATTCATGGTAGCTTGTACACTAACATGGTACTTTATCCATATATCTATCTTTTGAATGCAAAAGAAACCCTCATCTTATCGAGAGATATCACCAGGCACTTTATGATGGGACTGAACGGGGCATAGACTATGATCTTTAAGGTCCCTTTTAGTTCTGTTCTGTGGATCTGTATAGTTTCACTTCTCTTTACAATATGCTCAGGAATAGGACACAAATGTTAATGAAAGATAAGGACACTATACCACCTGTCCTACATGGTAGACTTGTGTGCTAATATGGGCCCTGGCAGACCAAAACAGTAGTAGGTAGCCCTGATTTATACTCTGGATCTTTTATTCATGAAGATCACAACTTTCAAAGTTTTATTATTTCTTAGGTCTTCATGGAAGTTCTGGGAAATTAACTGGATCTACTTCTAGTCTAAATAAACTCAGTGTTCAGAGTTCAGGGAATCGCAGATCTCAGTCATCTTCTCTGTTGGATATGGGAAACATGTCTGCCTCTGATCTCGATGTTGCTGACAGAACCAAATTTGATAAGGTAAAATAAAATAAGTACTTCTTAAACATTAATATTAGTTTTCTTTTCTAACAAAAATTTGTGATTATTTTAAGTGTGTTCAAAGGTTTGGGCTCTTTTGGCTCTCTTGAACATTAACTGTCTTTCCAGTTCTGAATCAAATCAGAAAAAAAAACTAGTCAAATAGCAACTAAAATATGAATTATCAATTAAATAACATAAAAACTTTATTAACAGTTATTTGTCACAAATCATGAAGTTCTGGCATCTCAAGTCTAAGTTGTTAGAGCAGCAACAAAGTAAAGAGGAAATAACTTTTCTGAAGCTAAGTAGGTTTTAAAAGTTTATCTTTGTGTTCCTCCTTACGGACTTGAAGTGAATAACTGAGTTTTATTGTAGGTATGTTCTGTGGCTGTTATACCTTGATAATACTGCATTGCCCTGTCAATCTTGGAAGAGTTTGTCTTTGGGATTCTGTTGAGATTATAGATCCATGGATTGAGATTTTTGATCCATTGTCCCTGCAGAAAAGTGAATTAAATGTGGAATCTTGTTTTAAGCATTTGGTGCAGTTCTTTCATTATACGATCATTTTGGTTTTCTTTAGATCTTTGAACAGGTACTAAGTGAACTGGAGCCTCTATGTCTGGCAGAACAGGACTTCATAAGTAAATTTTTCAAACTGCAGCAACATCAAAGTATTCCTGGAACTATGGTATGGCTCACATTTATTTTGGCTAGTATTTATGATCTGCAATATAATTAACCTAATTAATATGTGGTCACAATTTTAATATCAAAATAGAAAATGAAGGAATTTACGATGTAAAGATCTTTAAAACAGTTTTTGTCATAACACAAGATGGATAGTTGGAGTTTGGGCATCTAATTTATTATTGTACAGTGTCTTAAGCCTAAACATTCCCTAAATTAGTGAGGGGAAGAAATGTCATAGTTTACTTTGCAAAGAACATTATTTCAAAAACAATTTTAACATTTTAGTAGTTATCAAGAAAAATATAATTTAAAAAAGGATGGTGTTTGAGTGTAGCAAAGAAAGAAAGAAAGAGAGACCTCATATCTGAGTCCGAATCCTTCATATGGCTTTGTTACTGTGAGACCTTAAACCAATTATTTAATCACCAGTTTTCCTCTTCTGTAAAATGGATATAATAATGCCTGTTCAGCATGCCTGTCAGTTGGCATACATGTAGGAGAATAAAATGAAAGATTTTCTAGAATATTTTTAAGAACTTAAAAACAATGCAAATAGAGCGATTTTTTAAAATTAAGGTCATCTTAAAAATTTGTGCCTCAGGGGCCGGCCCGGTGGCGCACTGCTACAGTGCGCCGCTTGGGAGCGCCGTGGCGCTCCCGCCGAGGGTTCGGATCCCACATACAGACCAGTTCCCGCTCACTGGCTGAGCGAGGTGTGGGCGCAGCGCCGAGGGTTGTGATCCCGTTGCCGGTCCCGGTCCGGTACGGGCGCAACACTGAGGGTTGCGATCCGTTGCCGGACACGAAAAAAGACAAAAAGGAAAAAAAAAAAAAAAATTTGTGCCTCAGACAACCAACATAAAAAGCAGCCATAAAATGAATGAGAAATTTATTGTTATTACAAATGGTTGGGAGTTTGTTGTTGATGGTGGTAGTGGTGGTAGTGGTGGTAAATTTGCTTACTTGTTGGCTTCTGTAATAATTTTTGATAGCATTTTTTTAAATGCCAGAGTTTTATTAGAATGATTAATGAGATTTCCTTTATTTTTAAAATTCTCTTTTGAAAGTTGCTTTTGGATGTTTTCTGGTTTTTTATTGAGCGCCCTTCAGTTCCCATACCACCCTACCCCCCAGCCCAGCCTCCTGCACCCTCCCTTCCCACTCCTTTCCCTAAGGGCACACACACACACACACACACACACAAATACAACTTCTCACGCCCAGCCTCCTGCACCCTCCCTTCCCACTCCTTTCCCTAAGGGCACACACACACACACACAAATACAACTTCTCAGCCCATAATAATTCTCTATAAAATCTAAGAACAAATCATTTCATGAAAATACTTAAATAGCACATGAAACTATATAGCTTTATCAGTAATACTTCCTTTAAAAATCATTATTTTTCATAATGTATTCTCTCCTAGGAATTTTAAGACTGAGCAGGCTTTTGCTATATAAACTAGTCAAATTATTGGTCTTTTATTATGTAAAGTATCTGAATAATTTTTGCAGACTGAAACAGAGGACCTGGATGGAGGAACATTAACACGGCTACATAATTCTTGCGCATCGCTGCCTGTTTCATCTGAGTATGTGTTTGTTACACTCTATTGTTTATTTTGGAAAAAATAAACTTCAAATTGAAGCATGGAGGAGTGCTGCTCATTGAGGGGTCCAGAGGATTTTCAGTAACCTGACAGCACTCAGAGCACCAACATGTGTGTCCATTGTCTCATCAGACATTTTACTGAATTCAAGTTGGTCCTGTTTTAAAGCTCTTCAACTCTTCTTTGCTCCAGTAATCAAAAAAATGCAATCAATTCTGAAGTTTGTGGGTTGGAGGTAGGCTTTAAATTGCAATGTATTCTGAGAAATCAGAAAGCACATTTAAGAAACCCAGCCTTAGAAATGACATAAAGCTAATTTGAGTGATAGAACTTAACTTCAGTAAAACATTTTTATATTGAAAACTGCTGTAGAATAATTAGTTCATCATATTTGGACATTTTTAGTTATCAAATATCAAATTTTAGCCATTTTGTACACATCCAGTAGATTAAAGGTGAATTCCCCTGAAGCTTGTAATAACTTTCTATGTTTTGTATGTGTTCTAAACAGGAAAGATATGATCCGCCAAATGATGATTAAAATATTTCGCTGCATTGAGCCAGAACTGAACAACCTAATTGCATTAGGAGACAAAATTGATAGCTTTAATTCCCTTTACATGCTAGTCAAAATGAGTCATCATGTGTGGACTGCACAAAACGTGGACCCTGCTTCATTTCTAAGTACTACATTGGGAAATGTTTTGGTGACTGTCAAAAGGAACTTTGACAAATGCATTGTAAGTTTTTTTAAAAAACAACTTAGAATTCTATTCATTGCAAAAAATAGGTAAATGTATTTAAATCAGGAGATCTACAGTTTTCTATTGGGGATCTATTTTTTATGTTCCCCCAAAGCTTTAAAGCAGGTGTTGGCAGCAATCTGTATGAACAGAGTTAGTTGGATAGTGGTGAGTTCTGGAATAGGTGGCATAGTGGCAGCAGCTGCTTAAGAGATCCAGTGGGTAACTGACATCTCAGTTTACTTATCAGTGACCATCGATTTAAGGAAACAGTTGAAACTATCACTTGGATTTATTGTTGTTGTTCTTCTTTCAGTATATCCCAATAAGAAAATTAATTTGATTATTTTCAATGATTGTTTAAATTATTTATTTTAAATATTTAATAGTTTAATAGCTTTAATAATCATATTGCTTTATTTTAAGAATACATTGTTCTTATAATAACTTCCACTGATCATCATTTTCCTCCTTCCAATAGTATAAAAAATTATTAACAACATTCTTATTGTCTGTTAGTTTTTGGTAAACTTATATGTATGAATTGGGATGGGCCCGGACCTTTAAAAAAAGTTTTATTTTATTGATGCACTTAATTATGTAAAAGTCGTGGACGTGTATCATTTGAATATTTCTACTATGTAACCACTAAGTTAAATCTAGCTCTTAAATCTCCATAGAATAATGGGAGATAAAAATGTTAAGGGCAATTAAAGTTCACGTCATTTTTTTTCTTTTTCTTTTTTTCAATTTTATTTATATTTATGTATTTGTGGGGTACAGTGTGTTGTTTCAATACATGCGTACACTGCACAATGATTCACTTAGGGTAGATAGCATAGTTTTGTACCTGTTAGTCCACCCCTTCTCACCCATGTCATTTTTTTATACTTTTAAAAAATATTTATTGAGTTTTTGAGAGTATAATAGTAATCTAGGTGCACAGTAGAAATTTAGATGTCATCTCAATAGGCTTGTTAATCCTCCTTCCCTACCAAAATTATTTCACTTGGTATTTGAAATACTGTGAAATTTGCCCATGTAGGGTTTATCTCCCCCCTCGTTCCCACCCCTCTACCTTTCCAGAAGTGGTGATAAACCAAGAAGGTCTGACTGCAGTCTGACAACCAAAAAGAAAAGGAAGAGCTACCAAAGGCTAAGATAAATGAGTCCCATGGGCCACAGTTGGAGCACTAAATCATAAGGACACTATACAGTTACAGAATATGAAGGCTTAGTTGCTTTTATCAGTAAAAATATAACTTCAAATAATATCTGTAAACCCAGTAGAACCTAGGATGTGGTGTCAGGTAGATGTAGAAGTGGGTTCAGATGAAGTGCTTAGCACATTGCCTAGCACAGAATAAGAGCTTCTTATTAATTGATAGCTTATAATGGTCCTGGAGGTGGCAGTGGTCATGATAATAGTAGTAGTAATTAATAATAACTTATTAGAGAATGGCCATGTTTCTCTCAAGACAGGGCAATAGAGAAATGAAGTAACTTAAACAAAAGTGTAAATTCACATTTTCTCCTAAATTGCATGTATATCTAAAGAATGATTGTAAATATCTAAACATATTTAGATGTCTAAAGAGAAGGATTGCTCCTCTGCCACCTGTTATCTCTCTCACTTATTTTAATTCGGTTCTTCTTATGGTGTCTGATAGAGTGTATGTGCTCAATAAGTTGTATGTTTTGGTATTTGAGACAAGAGCAGGACCTAGGGCATAAAAAAGTTGAAAAGATAATGAAGGGTCTGTGTGTATTGAGCAAAAAAACCATGAATGCCAGATGGCTGCAGAAAATGAAACAGATAGCGCCTGAGTTTGGCTGTTTCATCTGATGCCCAAGTCCAAAGTATCTGATGTTCTTCAAGAACCAGGGCTAAGAAAGCTAGCCTAACCTGAACCAGGGCTAAAATTAGAAGTAACTTACACAATAAGTTACTACCAGGCTGGACTGTGCACTCCAGTATGTTTCTTAACTTGCTTTTCAAGGTTTCTCACACTATAGTGATATAGATTTGCACTCCTAAACCTTTGAGAACTATATGATTTGATTAAATTGCCATGGACAAAGGACAGACAAGTGATATGAGGCTCTCATCAAAGTTGTAGTCTTAAACATTCAACAACCTCCATGTCTTTATGATGGCAGTATGATTGGGCAACTAACTAGGAATAATGTATACCTACAGCTTGAGAGAAATTTGGATGATTTTTGTCAGAATTTGTTCATTGATGGCTCTTTTCATTTTAAATGACTGTACTATTTCTATCCTACTGGTCACAAAGCCAGAGAGGACAACTATCATTTAGAATATTTCCTATTAATGTTCAAGGATATGTAGATTTTGATCTATTTGCTGTACATTTAAATGCCACACAGAACAAAAATCTGCATACAGCTTAGTAAGAATAGACCAGCATTAATAGATAAGTACTTACTATGTGTCAGGCATGGGTCTAAGCATTTTGTACATACCATCTCATCTAATCCTCACACATACACCCTCCCATAAGGTAGGTGCTTCCAGAGGTGAAGTTATACTTTCCCCAGGTCAACAGTTAAGAAGTGATGGAGCTGGTATTCAAACCCAGGAAGTCTGGTTCTAGCACCTGCAGTCTTACCTCCTCTACTATATGCAATTTTACGCCTCATAGTTATCAATAATGATGAAATAGAACATTAGTAAAGATAACATGAAATAACTAACAATAGTCAACCAGGCTTTCTTATACTAATGCCTATAGCCTAGAAGTAATTATTTTTCTAATCCATATGTCATATGGTTTTCAAGTTATACACCCAAAATCTCAACACAATGAAATTTTAGGTAGAAGTTGCAATGGTCCAGACAGCATTTGTTAGCGTAATTCTTACTGTATATCTAGATCCCCTAAGAATTACATAGAACCATAATGGAATCCATGGATTTTTTTAAATCCAGATGTCTGGATCCTGTATATGTGAAACATCCTTTTTGCACTTCGTCACCATCATGTGCAAGCACTTTGCTGAACTAACTTAGAGTAATAACTAAAAAACATATGGGAAAAAACTATATAATACAAATCCACAATAGTAACGCCTGTTTTCTCTCTCTGTTCCTACACCCCCAAAATAGAGAATTTGTCTATCCAAATAGAAATTTTAGACCAATAAGAATTGGAAATGGCCATGGTTCTCAAACTTGGCCACATGGCCACCAACCATAAATAACCTGGAGAGATCCTATATGTGCTGTGGTATCTGTTCTGCTCTGACCCAAAATGAGCAACTGACTTGTACTTGTCTTTCATAAATGATAGAAGTGTGTATTGATTGTTTTTACTTTGAACAAAGACTTGAAGTTCACAAACCTTGATTGTACTTTGTTTTAAAATTTGGATTTTTTTTCCTTGATTTTATTTTCTTAAATAAAACTTTTTAATCTATAGAATTAGTTTTCTTAGTTATGCCTGTTGTGATTCATCTTCAATTAGGAGGCATCCAAAATGTTCTAGGTACTACATAGCGTCCTGCCTCTATGATGTGTACATTTGTTTATAATTAATTGTAGTTTATAAGTTGCTTGACTATTTCTCTCCCTTGCTTTCTGCCTAACTAGAGTAATCAAATAAGGCAAATGGAAGAAGTAAAGATCTCAAAGAAGAGTAAAGTAGGAATTCTTCCATTTGTTGCTGAATTTGAAGAATTTGCTGGACTCGCAGAATCAATTTTTAAAAATGCTGAGCGTCGTGGAGATCTAGATAAAGCATATACCAAACTTATCAGAGGAGTGTTTGTTAATGGTAAGCTTTTGTTATGTTCTAAAGAATTTTTGTGGTTATCGTTTTTAGTATTTCTGGAAACTTGGAAGTTGGAGACTGATATGTGTATTATTTTCCATATTCTATAGTCTTTTTCTAGATTTTCTGAAGTCAAAGATATCTTGAATTTGAAAAATAAGCAGTACATAAAACTTATTCATATTTATCAGAAACCACTTGCATTTTAGAGTTCATATGGGCTTACCACTATGCAGAATTGAAAATCATTTTTTAAACACAAAAAATGACCTCCCAGATTTCATTTGCATTTTAATAAGTGCCTTCTGGAGATGATGAGCAGGAGCAAATCAATTCACTTCTTTAATCCTTAGATTTCATTCTGTTATACAAGGGAGATTAGTGCTAAAATATTATAATTTACAGTCTTCCTTAGTTAGATCCCACAATTAAGTTACAGAAACAATTTGGATGTGACATTTAATTTGAAATAAATGATCTGATCACATAAGTCAGGAATTTTAAAAGCTAAAAAGTTGACAGAAGTTCAATCATCTCGCCAACTGCAAGTAACACATTTTCATTGGAAGAAAGCCTAAGGAAATGATAGGTAAATTTCATGTTTGAGTGTTCGTATGGCTGATTTTTCCTTTAAAATTCAAAGCAGCTTTGCTTTATCTGATTCTATAGTAATATATACTCATTACATACCCCAAAAAATTGAAAATAAATTCTAAAAATCAAGAAGAAAATAACGATAATTTGTAATCTCATTGTACAGAGATAACATTTACTTTTTATTCTTACAAACTATTCAATGTCTCTCTCCCTCTCTTGTATACCGAGGTACTTCAGGAAGTTCATGGAAAGAGTCATATTATCTTTTAATTATATTTTTCCATGAACTCTTTGAAGTACCCTTGTATATGCATGTATTGTGTATATGTTCTTTAATATAAAAATTTTATCACACACCTTATACACTGTTTTGGAAGCACCTTGACTCTATAATCTTAGTGTCTTGTCAATTAATATAGATAATCATAATCATTTTTAATGGTAGCATAGTCTTTCATGTATCATTTATTTATAATATAAAAATTTTATCACACACCTTATACACTGTTTTGGAAGCACCTTGACTCTATAATCCTAGTGTCTTGTCAATTAATATAGATAACCATAATCATTTTTAATGGTAGCATAGTCTTTCATGTATCATTTATTTTATTGGTCTCTGGTAAAATTATTGGCAGTATTCAAAATAAATATATCAAAAAACAATTATTTTTTGTATGCCAGGAATAACCAATTAAAAGGTTATGTAGATTCGGATCCCATATAGGGATGGCTGGTGCTTACCAGTCACAAAAAGGACAAAATAAATAAATAAAAGCTTATGTAGAAACAAAATTTTAAAAGAAACAGGAATAAACTTATCAAAAAAATAATTTAATGAAGAATAAAATAATTGTTAAGAAAATTTTATTTATTTATTTATTTATTTTATTTTTTAATTTATTTATGCTAAGAAAATTTTAGAAAAAAGTAATGAGAGGGGATTGGGGCTTGTCAGTATTAAATCATATAGTGCTCAAATATAGGTATGCCGTGGGTCTGTTTCAGGATGACTTTTCAGGTAGATGTGAATACCTTCCTGTACAGTTTATTAATTCCAGAAATGTGCTTAATTCTTAAACTTACAAATAAAAAAAATGATATAAATGTGTTTTATAGCTAAATATGGTCATACTTATAGGTATGCCGTGGGTCTGTTTCAGGATGACTTTTCAGGTAGATGTGAATACCTTCCTGTACAGTTTATTAATTCCAGAAATGTGCTTAATTCTTAAACTTACAAATAAAAAAAAATGATATAAATGTGTTTTATAGCTAAATATGGTCATACTCATAAATCAAAGATGTTATTTTTTCTGTTTTGATTTTAGTGGAGAAAGTAGCAAATGAAAGTCAGAAGACACCCAGGGATGTGGTTATGATGGAAAACTTCCACCATATTTTTGCAACTCTTTCTCGTTTGAAAATCTCATGTCTAGAAGCTGAAAAAAAAGAAGCCAAGCAAAAATACACAGATCACCTTCAGTCTTATGTCATTTACTCTTTAGGACAACCTCTTGAAAAACTAAATGTAAATATATTTTCATTATTTTTCCTGGTTTTGAACCTGTATACATCTGTTTACATATGAATAACATACAGACATTTATCTTAAATTTGCTTATGTATTGATGCAGGGAGAGAAGAAGGGACTCAGTTATTGAAACTTCCAGTGTACCAGACAGTTCTAGAAGCTCTATACACAGTATTTCTTTTCATTCTTATGAACAATGATGTGAGCTAAGATAGTATTATCCCCATTTTCAAATGAAGAAACAAAGTAAATAAACTTGCCAGAGGTTATAATAGCTTATAAATAGCAACACTGGGCAATGAATTTAGATTAGGCTTTTCCAGTATACCAGACTCTTTCCCATTTCTTATTTCAAAATGGCCAACCTTTATGCCTAGTTCAGGTGAAAATTTCACAGACGTAATCATATCAAGATAAAAGGAAAACCAAAAATTGTTTTGTACATTGCCTTTTTTCCTTTCCTTTTCTTTCCTGACTTGAGTCATTTCCCCTAGCAAGTCTGATAATTAAAGTTAAAAAGTGGTGGTTTTAGAGAATCTTACAACATAGTGGAAGCTTAAATGGACCCTTCAAACAATATGATTAGTCATCCTGTATAAGTTTGTAACTTGAAATTAGAGTCACATAAAGAATATGTATTGGTTATCAATAGTTCAAATACTTAAAAGACATTTAATCAAATACAGAACCAATTCTTTATTAAACTTAAGAACAGACAGATATTTCTTTAATTGGATAAAAGTTCTATCTCATGCTCAAAACCTGCATAATACTTAACTTCAACATCAGAGGCATTCCCTTGAAGTCAAATTTAAAGCAGAAACATTACCAGATCCTTTATTATTTAACATTTTTATTGAATCTCTAGCCAGTGTAACAAGACCTAGAACACAAATAAGAGATATGGAAAGGAAAGCTGCATAATACTTAACTTCAACATCAGAGGCATTCCCTTGAAGTCAAATTTAAAGCAGAAACGTTACCAGATCCTTTATTATTTAACATTTTTATTGAATCTCTAGCCAGTGTAACAAGACCTAGAACACAAATAAGAGATATGGAAAGGAAAGTCAAAATTATCATTACTTGTATATGATACTTTGAAATTATTGGTCTCTGGTAAAATTATTGGCAGTATTCAAAATAAATATATCAAAAAACAATTATTTCTTGTATGCCAGGAATAACCAATTAAAAGGTTATGTAGATTCGGATCCCATATAGGGATGGCTGGTGCTTACCAGTCACAAAAAGGACAAAATAAATAAATAAAAGCTTATGTAGAAACAAAATTTTAAAAGAAACAGGAATAAACTTATCAAAAAAATAATTTAATGAAGAATAAAATAATTGTTAAGAAAATTTTATTTATTTATTTATTTATTTTATTTTTTAATTTATTTATGCTAAGAAAATTTTAGAAAAAAGTAATGAGAGGGGATTGGGGCTTGTCAGTATTAAATCATATAGTGCTCAAATATAGGTATGCCAATCAATAAAACTGCATATTTAAAAGACAATCTGTGAAGAATATCTGTAATAATACAGCAGAGTCAGTATATTTAATATAAAAGATATTTTTAAAATAGATAAGAAAAACACTAAGAGCCTAATTTATAAATGGACAAGGGTTCTGAATCACTACTAAATATATAAAGGAAGTTAACTTCATTTATAGCCAAAGAATTTGAAATAAAACAACAAATAAACCTATTTCACTCTGGCAGCAATCAGCAATAATGCCGATAATAGTATGGTGAAGTAGCTGTCACACACTGTTGACAGAAACATAAATTGATTGAAAATATTTACATTGTGTAATGATAAAATTTAGAAAATTAAAATTAAAAAAAGAAAGAAAGAAACATAAATTGATTGAGCTTTCCTGGGAAGCAATTTGTATATCTGAAGAATCTTCAGAATGCTTATAGTTATACTCCTCAATTGAGTAATTATCGTCCTAGAAATTTATTGTGGAAAGTAATCAGCAATGTGGGTAAGTACATATATACAAAAGATGTTTATTATAAATGTATTTATAATAGATATTTTTAAAATCTGACTAGATTTTACCAATTCTCCCAAAAAAGGGAAGGATATTAAATATCCAAAACTGGAGGAATGAACAAACTAATTATGGTTAATTCATTGGATAGAATATTATGCAGCCTTTAAAATTTATACTTAGGAAAAAAATATGATATTAAATGGAAAATGCAACATATGAAATTATAACCTCATTTATATATTCACACCTCAAAAGATTAGAAGGAAATCTAATCTTATGGTTCTCTATTGGATATCTTATGGAAATCTAATGGTTATCTGTTGAAGGATGTGATAATAGGTGATTGTTATTTTATTCATTATACTTTCACACACTAGTTTTTACACAGTGGATATATCCTATTTTGTAATCAGATTTTTTTAAAATTTAAGTGACAATAAAAGCAGTTCTTAGCCAATATTTCTTTTCATTTCCTTGAAGCATTTCTTTGAAGGCGTTGAGGCTCGAGTAGCACAGGGTATAAGAGAGGAGGAAGTAAGCTACCAACTTGCATTTAACAAACAAGAGCTTCGTAAAGTTATTAAAGAGTATCCTGGAAAGGAAGTAAAAAAAGGTCTAGATAACCTCTACAAAAAGGTTGACAAACACTTATGTGAAGAGGAGAACTTACTTCAGGTATGCTTGATTCTTTTGGTCATCCTGGCTTGAAGATAATTACATGTACTGCTTATCTCTAAATATTCCTCTAGAAATTCTACAGATCTAGAGCAGGAAGAAAATTCCATGAAGTACAGTGAGGAAGAAAGGAATAATATTTAATAAGCTTATATGGCTATTCATGCTTATTTTGTATTTCTGTCATATTAATGGTGAAGCATTAACTTTGTTTTCTTTCTGTTGGGGTTTTTTTCTTTCTTTTAAAAAAAGATTTAGGGGTAATGGGTAAATGGAATATAGTATTCTACAGTGGGGTGGTTTTGAGCATGGGGTTGGAGTTAGAATTGGGTTCATGGTCCGGCTCCAAATTAAGCAGCATGATGTCAGGCAAGTTACTTAACCTCTCCATTTCTCAATTTTTTTTATTTGAAAAGTAGTA